GCAGCTAGCAGAGACAAGAAGCTAGCACTAGCAGTCACTTGACAGAGCGGTCACTCAATGTGACCACGCCCTAATTTATGCAAAAACTTTAAGACCTAATATAAATAAAAGGGTTGTGTTAGAAAAACAATTCACTCACAGATCCATAATCATGAAGGTGGAATCTAACTATATCGATAATAAAATGTATGGAGCCAGGGATAGAAACATGTTTTTTTTCTGCTGTAAAATTGGGCATTTTAACATGGGGGTCTATGGAAATTGCTCCTTTCTGCAGCCATCGCCTATCGGCCAATATATGAACTGCAGTGTGTGGCATTTCCGTATTGGCGTCCCGGCCAGAGTCCTGCATCGGGTCGGGTACCCGTGAAAAAGGTGATTCGCGGGTGGTATTTTTTCAAACGCTTTTTTCCGGGTTTAGTTCTGGGTAAAACAAAGATGATGCGGGTCGGGTCGCGGGTGTTGCATAATAAATATATTCAAATAATAATAATTTTGTTTAATGTTTAAATCCTCAGACCTCTCCCCCGCGGGAACACGCATAATCATAACCTCTGCAGCGCATCAATCTGCTTCTGAGTGCGCCACATTCGAAATGGCTGAGGTGAAGCTCTTAGCGGAGAATACAGCATTTTCAATAACACTTCAAGAGCGAAATCCAATGTCTGGGAGGATTTTGGTGTCATCCTAGATGGAAGAAATAACCAACATCCCATGCTTTTTGAGACAAATATGCAACTACGTGTGTTAATAATTGCACGTTTTCACTGCTCATATATATGCGGGTTCGGGTCGGGTTGCGGATCCTGTGCCGACGGGTCGGGTCGGGTTGCGGAACTAATTGACAATATGTGCGGGTATCGGGGCAGGTTCGGTATTGCACGTCGCGGGGCGGGAGCGGGACTTGAAAATCAGACCCGTGCAGGACTGTGGTCCCGGCTATTCCCCATAGTTTGCCGCTTGGGTTGAACCTTGAATGCGGGAATAGAAACATTTGTTTACATTGCAGGCAGAGGAAATCGAGTTTGTTCATGGGAATATATCGTGGAATTAAAGGCTTCAAGCGCTGATTTAACTTCGAGAAGGTAGGACAGGATGGCAGGTACTTGGGAATGCCGGAGTCAGCTTGCTCCTGCCTTTTTTGGCGTTTAAATACCCGCCGACCGAGAGACAGTGCGACTCTTAGCTGACACACGTAAGAGAGGGGTTGTTACCGGAGCTGGCGTAGAACTCGGGACTTCCTCTGGCCCAAAGGATATTAAAAGCTACTCCAAATGAGGACGGAAAGGACACCTGGATGTGTGTCATGCGGGAGCGGTGGCTCGTTCCAGCGGCGTCTGAACCATGCTCTGAGCTAGCCTGTGTTTCGGGAATGAGGCATTTCTTACGGCTTCTTGCGTATGATGATTCGGTTCCAGAGTCGGAGATTGCAATAGACATTTGCAAGGACAGCACCGGCATGCAAGCAGCAGCGACGTAGAGTAGCTGCAAGCAGCAGCAACATGAAACACAGCAGCAGGAACATGAACGCAGCAACAGCAAGTGAACGCAGCAGCAGCATAGCGAGACAGAGGCAGGGAGACCTGGCAGCTTAAATAGAGCGGCATGTTGAGGAGAATGTGTTTGGTTGGTTGTAAGAGGGACGAGGTGCGTCACGTGTTAATGCATCATTGATGCTCGAGTTGACTGCCTGAACTAGCTCGCAGGCTTCGCCCCATTAAAGTTCCTCTTTTATTTTAGCTCTTTTTTTGTGAATAGTTTGGTGCTTTGCAAGCTTTCAACAATGCTAGTTGTCTAATGCTAATGTTTTGCTAAAACAACATCAACTGTTGAATTAAAGTTGGTCTTACAGTTGTGATGTGGTTTATAATGTACCCTTGTGGCTCTTTAGTAAGTAATCTGTGTTTTTGTAAATGTTGTTTTCTTTTAATTGTATAACTACAGGATATTATATTTGTACAACACCATAAGTGTAACCAATTGAATCTATTTTTCTCATTACATTTCTAATAACTCTTGTGAATTCTTTTGTCCAAATATTTTTTTACAATTGTACAACCTCTATAGGAAAATGTGTTTACGCTCTGCACCAATTCATTGTTTCAGTGCTTCTCAAAGTGTGGTCCGCGGACCACTGGTGATCCGTGAGCGCACCCTAGTGGTCCGTGAGTATATTGGTAAAATTTCACATTTGAAATAAATGTATTTAAGTTTTCCGCACTCTCGCGGGAATATCTCCGCAATTGAGTGAGCTTAAGTTTCAATTGCATGATATAGCCCAGATAAACACCTTCATCACACATGTTACCTCACTTGTTTGTACCATTTTCAGGCGATTTCTAATCTGTTCTAGAAAAACGATGTGTTTTTGGATATTTGTGGCCATGAGTGTTTTTTTATTGGTTAAGTGGTCCTTGGTATGAAAAAGTTTGAAAAACACTGTTATAGGTAAACAAAAACGTCTGTTCACTGATTACAAAATAAATCTACAAAGCTTTAGAGAAATAATAGAAGAAGACAGCTTTTCCCATTATATGTAATTGAATTGTAATGAGTAAAGATACAATTGACAAAAATGTATTGCATGAATTAAATTCAAATCAATGATCATCAGAAAGAGAGAAAACTAGAGATAAAAAACAATTTATTTTTCCAAGGAACAGATAATCTTGTAAATGATGATTAATGATTAAACATTTGTATATTATTTGCCATATAACATTATATATTGATGTAATATGTCATTTTGATTGGACATATAAAATGAAAACCAGCATTTCAGAGGGTTTGTGTACGTCTGATTACAACTACAAATAAGCTTGGAGTTTTTCGTTACCCAATGAGTGATATTTTCTATTAACAGTTGATCACAGAGGCTCAATATAACTGTCAAATCACGAATGAACACATTATGTAAAACTGGTTTTAACGAGCAATCTATCTCAAAATGGGATACAAAGACTATTGATTTGTTGCCTCTGAGGGATAATGAAGGGATCAGAGCAGCTTTTCTATTTGGGGAAGGTGTTTATTTTCAGCGAATGATAATAGACTGCTCATTGTTAAGTGTGATATTCGACTGCAACAGCTGTGTCACCTTCGAGAGGAGGTGTGAAGTGGATTGCTTCTCATCTTCTAGTCTGGCCTGTACCGGCTGATACAAGCCTCTGCTCTACGGTTAATATGATTGACTGCTCCACTGTCTGTTGAATAATGTAATTGTCGGCAGCTATTTTGGTGAGGACGTGATCAGTGTAATTGGCAGTGGTGCATCCTTGGTCACGGTAGGATCAAGTCACCTCCAGCGTGCACACACCCACAGCAGGCTCGTCGTGGAGATGCCGACTGGAGCAGCCAGATTGCCAGGCGATGGTAGGCCAGCCACACCAGCAGCAGCATCACCGTGACGATAGTGAAGCCAACCAACAGGCCGACGATGACCAGAACCAGGTCAAGCTCTGACGGGTCTGAAAACAAATAGAGGCTCTGACATGTCATGACTTGTTAGCACTATCCTAATGTTGGTTTAACGAGTGGATAGGCTTGATATGGTGACCGGGACTCACCGAGCGTTAGTACGCGGGAAGTCCTAGGTCCCCCATCCGTCCAAATAATTTCTTTAGGAGACGTTGTCGGCTAAAATGACCTAAAACCCTTGGAATAGATTTATCTTTTTAGTTAGCAAATAGATCTCAGACGGCAAGACTTCTACCTCTTGTCCCTTCGAGGCACCACTACACACTTAGTAAAAATACCTAAAACGATGTGTTTGCTCTCATTATTACAAGATTTCGTGTATAATTTTTGTGATCGACGTAATTACTCCAGATTGTCATGGGAAATAGTTAGGACAACCACTTCTCTAGTTCATTAAAACATAACAACTAACTTTTCGTGTAGTCATCTGGTAACATTTCTATGACATAGAACATTAACTGTAACTTGTCTTCCTTTATTTCTTTTCTTTCTCAGTCCTCACTCTTCCGTCTACCTCTCTCGCTTCACAACCCTTTCTCTCATCTGTCGCCCTACTGATCTCTCAGTCTCTTATTGTTTTTGGTTCCTTGAGACTGTCTCGACCATTTACATCCGTCTCGCTGTGAACCGTTTCAATTGGGGTTAACTCTAGAAGGAAACGCCTCTGGTTGTCATTTATTAGAGAGGCAGGGACTTTTCGATTAATTGGGACGGCAAAAACCGCGACCGTTAAAGTGGGGGGGGGGGTGCTATTTGCTTTATCGCTTCCTTTGGGGGGGGGGTGGTGGTTGTA